AATACACCGGCCTTATCTGTGTTTTCAAACCGGACTGCCAAGTTTCAACTAGTTGAACTGGAAATCAAAGCTGAGTTCCTTCGGGTTAGCCGTCATGGTGAAAACCAGAAATGAATCAGGTTTGACCACAGTTCAACAGGTAAACTGGTAACCCGATCAACCTGGTTCAAGTGGCTCATAAATTATGAAATTCAAAAATAAACAATTCTTTGTCATGAGTGTGGATCAGCCCAGCAATCTCACGGAAGTGGCTCCACCCCACTCATTTAAATCTCTGTCACTTTCTGATGTCATTTTTTTTCCTCATTTGAACTTCTAAACAAACCTGAAAAGCCAAAAAACCTCAAATGGGCATAGCAGAGAGCTCTGGACGTTATATGTCTTCACTTGCACGCATGTATTAAGTGGGCTAGGGTGAAGTTCTTGTTCTGATCTACCAATAACTTTTTTATAACCCTTGCATTACATGATGAAGTTATCAAATTCTGACCTATCAGTTCAACCAGTTAAACCGGGGTAGGCACGTGAACTGGACTCCTCACTGGTTTTTGCTCTGGTCCAGATTTGAAAACACTGGTCCTCATTGATTCTATGTGGAGTTCTTGAGTCAACATATTTTTGGATTAGTAACTTTGGGAAGGTTAAATTAGGAGTAACACTGATGTTTTCCTTATATATGGTTTTATCTTGCTGCATGACGTGTTTGAAGTACTTTTAATGTGTATTTTAGGATATAAAGGCCTGGAGATGTTGCATGGATGTGTGTTGGGTACAGTTCTTGCTACATTGTAACAATAAATAATTGTCATGGACATTGCAGAAATATTTTACACCTAATTGATAATTAAAGTAGGGTAAATTATTTTGGATTTGGTTTTAGATCTGGTCATTTTTGCTAAGATCTAGACACTTCTCCAAGTAGTATATCAAGATACTTCTATGCATCCTCACTTGGATTGAATACATCTTTTGTTTCTGCTTGGATTAATTGCCTGAACTAAACATTATTATTTTATATGTTGCAGACATTATCTCCAGAAATGCCTCTTCAACTGGCCTCAGATACAATCTTAAGAATGTTGAGGGCCCGGCTGCATCATCATCGTCAAGGACAAGTAAGTTTTAATAATGCCAATTTCCTTCAGTTGGCTGATGTAGGTAATGAAATGTGCTCTGTTAGATTAACCTTGCATGGGATTAAGTTGCTGGTGAACTAATCTATCACATGCTTCAATATAGTTAACAACTGCCTTAATTTATTGCTAAACTCTATTAATTTTCTGTCATATGAAATGGTCCTAAAGTTATTTTCCCCTCTTGGTTTTAAAATAATTTTCTCTTCCGTGTTAATTCCTTTTCATTGGTATAACTATTTTCTGCCCACTACCATGAATACGTCTTGAACATTTCATCCATCATATGCTCCGAATAGACTCACTTTTCACCAAACACTTGGTCCTTGTTGTGATTAAATAGTTTAAAGGTGGCTTCCAGTATAATGCAATACATAGGCCAAGATATAGCAGTTAATTACCGAGTTGTGTGAAAATTGGGTCACAATAGAATATCTGTCAACTTTTTGAGTTTTACTTCGAGCATCAGGCTATGAGTTGGCCTTCCCTACATAAGGAGCTGACAAGAGAAGCTTTGGAGTACATATTGGAAAGTTTTCAATGGCATGATCCTCTGTTATAAGGAATGTCACGAGAACAGTATACTTGGGGCTGGGGTTTTTTTTTTTCAGTTTCGATCCATGTTGATTGAGCATCTATATTTGGCCATAGTTCCATGATTCAAACTGAAAGAGCCTTAATGTTTTACTAACAAAATATCCCATTCTCCATTGGTTTATATTTGTTTGTTTTTTCTTTCTGTTTGTCCTTGTACGTTTCTGATGTTCTAGAACTCTCTTTGTAACATCCTTTATTATCTATTAGAAAATGCACATTTTCCATTGATAGATAAATATGAATGTGGGAAGCATCTTTATAACCCAATTTGTTGTTTTTCATTCATTGGTTGTCTCAGAAAATGGAAATCAATTTGATTATTGCTGCCATTTTAGACCTGTTTCACCCTTGTGCTTTTGTTTGATCTTTTATGACAGATTGTACACAACTTATCCCGTGCTGTAGACCTTGATGCAAGGTTAGCGATACTGGAGGAGCGATCACGGAATGTGCAGATCAATGATGAGAGTCTCTGTGATTCATGTCAGGCTCGTCTTGGGACTAAACTCTTTGCGATGTACCCAGATGATACAGTTGTCTGCTACAAGGTCAGTGATATACATTTGTTGCACATCTACCCAATCAAATAAAGAGAGAGATAAACTGCAATCGTTCCAAGATGATGAGGTCTTTTCTAATTCATGAACTTTTCCCACTGATTGTTTTATGTGTGGCAGATACACTCAAATTTCAAAATTATATTAAATTTAATATGATATGGTGTTTACAGAATTGTATTTTGGTTAAGAAAGCAAAAAACCTTTTGACACAATTCTATTATTTTAATTGCTAAAAGTTGGATGTTTCTGCAGTGTTTCCGACGTCAAGGTGAGTCGACTTCTGTCTCAGGACGTGACTTCAAGAGGGATGTCTTGATAAAGCCAGGGTGGCTTGTGACCAAATAACTCTAGATGTGGTATTCGAATTCTTTAAATCATTAAAGGCTCGAGAAGAGGATTATCATTTCCAGTTACTTCAGCGTTCTGACCTAGAGTTGTATGGAGTCAGCTTGTGGACGAACTGGAAGGCGATCGTCTTTGGCGAGGAACATTGATGACATCTGTGATTTCGCCTTCTGCCATGCTTAAATCGGAAGATTCTATTACCCATTGGGTATTCACAGGAGGATAATGTAGATGGGTTTTCCACATCGCTCAGGCTGTCTCCATTTCAAGCTGATAACAGCAACAATTTTTGGTCCAACTGAGCCTTGAGTCAGTTTTTCTGGCATTGTACATCTTTCTCAACTAAGTTTCTTGCATTGTCCTTTTAATGTGCTCTTGAAATTGATCCGGTTCAGGAGTTTTCTGTTTATCTGACCCCTTGAGGGGTATTAGGCAATAGATGTTGTACATGATCGATCTATACAAGAAGATGGTGAATAAGCAAAGTGTATAATTACTTCATTCATGGATGTTGAATTACACTGGTTGCAGTTGAACTGCACCTCCTCCGTCTTGCTGTATTGCATGTGGATTAAAGATCTTTTTCCAATCGATCACGTATTTTCCTTTTTGATGGATCGTTCGTCCATGTTTGCTATGTATGGAAACACCATGACCGTGCACTTCATGTGATTTTACCAGACTCGGCCCTGGAGGTGATGGCACCTCCTTAGTCACTGAGCTTGACATCAAAGTTCAAATCTTGATGGCCATGGAGAAGTCACTGAGCTCAATGCCGGACAAAGGATGCGGGTGACGAGGCGGCGGTTTGGCAGTAATGGAGGAGCCATCGAGAATTCAAGATCAATGCTAGACAATGAGAGAGAGAGAGAGAGAGAGAGAGAGAGAGAGAGAGAGAGAGAGAGAGAGAGAGAGAGAGAGAGAGAGAGAGAGAGAGATGTACCATCTCGGGAGGGAGAGAGACTTGGGCCAGAGAGGACACGGGGGAAGGGGGAGATATGTGTCGTCAAGGGTGATGAGGTAGTGGCTTGACTTGGGTGGTGACGCCATAGCAGGGTGGAGACGCCTTGATGAGTGTTGGTTGCACCGGGAGGAGAGATGCTAAGCTATGGGTGCATCAGGTTAGGGGTTTTGGGTACGTGGGATTTCACGGTAAGGGGCTTTGGAATGGTCAGAGAGGCAAAAATCAAAAGAGAATGACAACTCCGTAGATGACATGAAAATCATAATCTTTTGTGATGTAGCTTGAGATGGAATCACAAAAGTGGAGATGCTAACGGTAGATTTTAAAAGCTAAGAATGGTGTTTGATGTTCGGTACTGTATCCAGTCAGCTCACAACAGGGTAAGCTCTGTGTGAGATTGGATCTCACTAAGTTGTTAATGGGCTTTCGGTTTTAGCTATGACCGACATTACTTTCAGCGGTTGACAGAAATAATAGTCATCAAATGGCCAAGTGATGATCTCCTTGATTCAATTTCTTCAGTACCTTGACAACCAGTGAAATCTACACTACTTATGTTGACCAGTGGAGAGAAATGGACTACTTTCCCAATTGTAAAAGATCAATTCAATTTATTCACAAGCCAGAACAAAGTGGACTCTCCACACCACAATGCCTTAAGTTCTTGAGCCGGTCACCGTGCCTCGACACGTTCCCAATTTATTTGAATTACTCCGACTAGACAACACTTCCAGAAAGACTCTTCCAAGCCAAGAACAAGGAAAAGAAGACTCCCAGAAAGACTCGCCGTGACGATATTGACGAGTGGCACCAAGAATTATCAGAGCACACTTCGTCTGACCCTTTTATGCAGTTAACAATATAAGTGATTGGAATAGTGCACACATTTCATAAGAATTTCCATGATATATAGATTCCAGAAAATAGACGGTGGACCGTGCCATTGAACAGCCAGAGAGATTGTTCTACCAGGCTAGCATTACTCAGGCTCATAATTTTCCATGTCCCTCGCCAATGCCAGATCTTGAGTCTGTTAGGCTTTGTAGTTTCTCAAATGAACAACATTTGCGTACGGGAAGAAGTTAATTATAATCAGAGATGAAAGGTTTTTAAAGATGGGGTTCCACAGCTTCCGTTGATTTTTGTTAAGATTGTCTCCTCACATTGAATGCGGTGCTCAAAGCCAAAGAAGCTGTGGAAATGGCAGCTGCTGCCAAGAGGCAATCTTTTTCATCCCCATTCTTCGATTCCGAATGCAAAGGGATTGCACCACAAGCTGTTTGAAGTTTGAGAATTGAATTGAAAAACCAACCTGAGAGCCTGCTATTTTATTGATTTATTCCCGAAGATGAACATCCTATATACGTCGCATACACACTACGAGAATGATACTATTGCAAGGATTGACTACAACAGATGCATAATAAGCAACTATCAGAATCCCCAGTTGAATTTCCTGATTGGGGATGCACAATTCTAGATTTGGGGATAGATGTTAGAATTCAATAACGAAAAGAATATATAGATGTGTCAAAAAAGGGACAAGACGCCATGGAAATGATTCCAGTCCGCTCGTCATGCTAGAGTTGCCCTCTTTCCTTTCGCATCTCTCGACTGCAATGAATAAGTTGTCAACGGATTAATGTGGGGAAGCGTGTGTGTGTGTGTGTGTGTGTGTGTGTGTGTGTGAGAGAGAGAGAGAGAGAGAGAGAGAGAGAGAGAGAGACCTGAGCAGCAGTAGATCTTTTTGCATCGAGAAATTCGCTGTAGATGCTATACAGTCTTCTCTTCTCAGCATCTGAGACTGACGGCCTCGCCTTTGAAGCAACGGACTTCAGAAGAGAGTCGGTTATAATTGGCTTTTTCCCATGCTGATCGACCTCCCCTCTGTCGAGAAGATCATGAACAGCTTGAAGCTGTGCATCGGAAAGCAGAGCTTGAAGATCAGCTCCACTGAATCCTTCTGTCATATGAGCTATGGCATCTAAGTCCACATTGCTGGCCAAGGGGAGCTGCACAAGGGCATTAAAGCAGCACTTAGGAAAACTTAAGCGTTGCCCAATGGTTGCTATTTTTACTACCTGATTAAACGGAACTGAAGTTATATAATGAAGTGAATCCACCCAATATCTTCCTAATTACTGAAAAGAAAACAAAAGGAGAGGATGACAATGTTTAGAGAGATTATACTAAATGATAACCAAAGGTAAGTCTTAGTCCTGTTTCATGGATCAGCTGAACAGGCCTTTTTTACTTTTATCACAGCAACGTCAGTAGGTGTTATATCAACCTGAGCCTCACCTGAGCCTCAAGGTCCAAGGTTGAAAGTGATTTACTATTGGACATCCGAACTTACCTGAGCCTCACCTGAGCTGAGCCTCACCTGAGCAGGTTGTACATCCAACCCGCAATGCTTTTTACTATGTTTTCCTCTATTTTACAATGCCTAGGGTGATTTGGCGCAAAATGACTTTTAGGGAAGTCATGGGAGAAGGGATTTTAACTTATAACTTAACGAGTTGCACCAAATGCACTCTGTCTGATGCTGTAAGTTCTAAGCAGGATCTCAGCCGCTCAGATTAACTCTGTTTCTAACTCTTTCTTTTGTGTGTTTTTAAACAATTCTCTGTTCATATGTAATCTTACCAATGCATCTTCCTCGCAAAAGTAGGATTGCGGATATATAGTTCTTTAACAAGTAATCCCATAAATTTCAATAGGTACCACCTGTTTTAGACCATGTCAAAGATGAATTGCTAAAAGTAAGCATTGGCAGATGGATGGAAACAAAGTTTCTACCTTCCTCGATAGAACTTTAAGAACATCCAGCCTCTCCTGTATAGAAGGAAAATCACAAAACAGAAGACGATCGAGCCTGCCAGGTCTCAGAAGCGCAGCATCAAGTAAGTCCGGTCTACTGCTTCACATAAAATGCAACTTCATTAGCACTAAAAGCACATAACTAGACAAATATAAAATAAAGGAAAAGGATCACGATGAAGACAAGTGAATTAGAATTATTAGGTTATAGATGAACCCATGACCCCTGAGGAAAACAAATGAGCACCTCATGCAGCAAAGATGTCATGATATAAATGAGAAATTGCACTATGCTCAATGTCACAAGACTGAAACGATCATAAGGGTGAGCATTGTTCCAAGGTAGAATTTGGAACTTGGAAACCTGATCAATGGAAACCTGTAGATTCCAGGTTCGAAGGTATGCAGGGTAGGTTTCAGGTTTCAAAAGCCTGGAACCTAAAACCCTTCGACAAGTTTTTTGTATTTTTTCTTGATCTAAGTTTTCGCGTGATCCTGCGTTATTCCATGGCAATTAATAATGAGTGTATAATCTGGAATCACTAGTTTGAGCTTTCATTTTATGACTTGTTAATGTTTTATATTATTCGTGTCTCTAAAATAAGTTGTAGTCAGTAGATCGTAGTAGAAAGTGGTGGTCATCAAAAGTGATGATTCACTGCAATTGTTCAATTAATAATATAGGTGGAACCTGGATAGACCCTGAAACCGACCCTGGAACCTGTGACAGGGTAGGTTCCATATTCCAAAAAATGAAGAACCTATTCCCATGGGTAGGTTCCAGGTGGAACTTGTACGGAACCTGAAACCACTCACCCCTAACAATCAACATCAGTTGATGCTGTTGTAGAGGCTCAAGACCAGCTTAATACACTTAGTGTAAGCTACTTCAGCAAATGAAAAGTAATTCACGCAATCCAAACTTTTGTTACCTTCTCTGATACATATGTAGTTTACCCAACACCATGTATCTGAGGTTTAAACAATTTTAAATCAATGAAAAGTCATATGTAGCAGTTTATAGTCTGCCTTGAAGGATTATTACAAAGTCTCCACACTAACTGTTTCCTATAAATTGTTTGCTAAAACATTCATAACAGAAGTGCAATTTCTACTAGCAGCTTATAGTTAGTGTGCTATTGGAAGTAGCACTTTTTGTTACCATGTCCAACAAAATTATTACCTTGTTGCCGCGAAAACAAACACTCCAGTTAAAACTTCAACACCATCTAATTCAGTCAAAAACTGCAGCAAGGAATTACATAACATTAGTAAGTCAAACAATTAAATAGATTTCACATGACCACCTTATAAGTGCTATTGAATGCAAGAAACTAACTTGATTGACGACACGGTCAGTAACCCCCGTATTATCATGCCCCCTTTTTGGAGCAATGGAATCAAATTCATCGAAAAAGAGAAGGCAAGGTGCTGCAGCTGCTGCCTTCGAGAATATATCCCGAACCTGTAATTTTCTAATTGCCGTAAGTTTCGAATATTCAAAACTTCTCCAGTTTGCTGAAAGAATCAATGCAATCCATGTGCAGAATGTAAAATCCAGTACAAATTTAATTGCCGATTTCAAATTCCTAGTAAAAAAGCTTCAAATATTTTATATCGTAATCTTTCTCTCAATCAAATGGTCATAGAGATCCTCCCGCATCATCAATCGTTTTGACTTGGCCACTTCAGTAGGTATTGGAGGATCCTGATTGCTGTCGTTGGCAACGACATAATTAGAACACCTTGGCTGCAGTGGCAGGATCCTCATTGCTGCTTTTTAGTTTATCCTATTTTGACTGCTCGCATACATTAAGGGACCTCTATTAAATGCATACAAAAGTAACAGAAGAAAGCACAATATTGTGAAATGTCTGGAAATAAAAAGGTTTTAAGACACGATTGCACAAGATGGAACACAATCAACATCATTATAGTTGATAAGAAGCCACTTACAGCTTGCTCAGAAGCACCAATGTACTTATTCAACAGCTCAGGCCCTTTCACTGATATGAATCGAAGAGAACAAGCTGCTGCTACAGCACCAACAATGTGTGTCTTGCCGCAGCCTGGAGGTCCATATAAAAGAACGTTTGACCGTAGCCTTAGAGGAGCTTGTGAAAACACTTTTGGAAATTTTGAAGGCAATTCGATCATCTGATATTTCACCAAGTATAGAGACAAGGAGGCATTCAAAAACATTTCATCAGCACATGTAAGAATGATAAACAAGAAGATAAACTAGGTTTATATAACAAGTTAACATTAATGACATTATCAGCAAAGAGTTTGTTTTCCAGAACAACCGGTCTCTTCATAGTCCAGAGTAAATAAGAAGAGTAAATAAGGACTGTTGCTCAGTAATTATGTAAAAGCACATCAAGAAACAAATAGATCATGTTCATTGAGAATCGTGTGGGTTTAATATGGCAGCATTGACTTAAAAAGATCTGTTCTTCATTAAATTCCTAAATTTACTAAACAGTGAGCATAAAAATTAAAGGGAATCGTGGGAAATGATACAGAAGCTAGTGGGTTTGGAAAGGAAATAAGAACTGAACCTTAAGGCAACAATTTAAAGACCATATCAAAACTAGTAGAATACATTATTCACTCATTTACTAAAAAGTATCTAGTAAGCTCCAGGGGCACCGATGTTAATGCTCCAAGCTGGAAGCATGAATCTAACACATGAAACGATGAACCACCACCTATATCATCCTACAATAGTAAAAGTTGACATTATTGTTGACTCCTCCAACAGAAACATAATTTCGTTTAGGAGTATAGTAGATTCTCATCAGTGATGATGGCCAATAGCGAGATTACAAGCAGACAGCAATACATTCATCGATGAGCCTTCATGAGGATATCAAACAGGTGAAGGCAAGTGTCACGACCTAAGTGCAACTTGAGACATGCACGAAAATGAACAGAAGGCTGTATTTGTCAGATAATTGGTAGCTACTATCAGATGCTAGCTACTTGGAAAGGGGAATTTACTGTAAACTAGCTTAGCTTGTTTATATACTGCTCAAATTAGTGATCCACTTCTACAACTATCGTTTTATGAAAGTTCATGGTATAGGCGTCAGGTACCATCTGAAGCCCAACATATAGGTAATGTGTTTTCCATTAACACAGGAAGAGACTTAAGACAATAAGACACTTGACTTTGCATTTTCTTGATATCCTTGAAGAAACCTGAAGGGGAGCAATGTGTGTATTGAGATGCAAAAATAAAAAATAAAAAAGAGAAAAAAACGAATATTTAAGTCACAAACTTCAGCACACAGAGTAGCCAATTTTTTTGGCTAGTTTCCATCTAAGTACACAAATGTAAAAAGATTTATTGCAAAAAAATAGGGAATTTACGAAAGGGTCAGTAAGTTTGTTCATCTAACAAAAAGGCAAGAAAACATTTTACCTCCTTAATGGCATTCTTGATATCACTGAGTCCACCAACATCATCCCATCCAGAACGACCACCTTCAGGAGCAGTTTTTGTGATATCGCGCATAGCAACTGGAAGGAAGCCATGCAGTGCTCTCAAAAAATCATCTCTGAGAAGACTCATCTTCTCAGGCCTCTTCAAAGACAGTGAATAAGGCATAAAACGGCCAACAGCAGCATGAATAGCTCGATCAACTAATATTTCCTGAATGAAGTCAATAAAAGATTTTGCTTCCATTTATTTCTCAGGTAAATCAAATGTAGAAGACAACTAAAATACCAGACTGAAAAGACACTGATAAAATTGAAAGCATGCATAACATCGAGTTCACGACAATGATATAACTCAAAGACAAAAAAGGTACAAATCTGAAAGGTCATTTTCTTATTCAGAGTTTATCTATTCGCAACATCATCTGCTCAAGGACTAGCCTTAATGTACTACATTTTCCAGCACAACTTCGACAAAGTCTCATTAAACACATAGAATTCTAGTGGACATCATTTCTCTCAGAATTTTAAATAAGAGGATTTAAGCGTGTGTTTCTCCTATAATGATATTGAGAAAACTGTCACTCATCTTTTGTACACCAATCATGGACACAGCATATGAATAGCTCGATCAACTAATATTTCCTGAATGAAGTCAATAAAAGATTTTGCTTCCATTTATTTCTCAGGTAAATCAAATGTAGAAGACAACTAAAATACCAGACTGAAAAGACACTGATAAAATTGAAAGCACGCATAACATCGAGTTCACGACAATGATATAACTCAAAGACAAAAAAGGTACAAATCTGAAAGTCCATTTTCTTATTCAAAGTTTATCTATTCGTAACATCATCTGCTCAAGGACTAGCCTTAATATACTACATTTTCCAGCACAACTTCGACAAAGTCTCATTAAACATATAGAATTCTAGTTGACATCATTTCTCTCAGAATTTTAAAGAAGAGGATTTAAGCGTGTGTTTCTCCTATAATGATATTGAGAAAACTGTCACTCATCTTTTGTACACCAATCATGGACACAGCATATCTGCAGAGCCATTTATACTCCTTGAGCATCTTACTTTGGACTCAGATTCTACTGAGCAAAAAATTTAGTTGAGAGAGAGAGAGAGAGAGAGAGGATAATAAGAAAAAGAAGAGAAGGTACATTGTCCAGGTCAAAGTCACCATACCAAATCATAGGCATCATAACCATCACATTTGGATGCCACTTCATGTAAGATTTCGTCAGCGCAATCTAAAGAACGCTTCTGCATTTCATGTTTCAATATAGCTTCACGTTCCGTGGCAGCAGGAGCAGGCAGTTGCACATGGAAGTCAAACCTCCCTAGCAGTGATAAAATTTATAATCTGCAGTGAGAGTACCGAAAAGGAACAAAACAAAAATGAAGGAAAGCCATACAACACGAAACGTCTTCTTTAGAGATAAAGAAAACTCCAGCAAACACAAGGCGAACCTGAGGAACTCAAGGCCTGCGGTATTTTATCTAGAGCTCTCACCGTCGCAAGGAAAGCAATGGGTCCAATTCGACATGAGCTCGTCCTTTTTTCCTGAATGACATTTTTAAATGAGAGATGAATTGCGATAATATATCCAAACAATGTACTATAAAATACCAGTACTCTCTTTCCGTCATTTTCCTACTTGCTAGTTAACTATTGAGCAGGAAATGCCTCAAAAAATTTGATTCTCCATATCCAAAATGAAAGTAAATGGTTAAAAACGTGTGATTAGTTTTTTTTCCAGAGAAAGAAAACTCGAATTGGGGTTTTAGGAACATGGCTCAGTCATTCACTTTCCCCCGAACTCAAAGCTTAGCCAAAAGTCATCCTTGTTGCTAGGTTTCCACTCCTTGTCTCAGATAAAGGATCTCACCAACCTCCCCTCCATGAATCTAATTTTCACTAAAAGCAAATGAGCTCTCACACATGCAAGCATCAGATCATGCAGTCCTGCGCGCTAGAGAGTCCTTATGCCTTGCTCTTGAAAAGTAGCAATAAAATGAAATACCTTTTTGTTACAGATAAGTAATAACAGTCTTTGCTTTCTCAGCACTGACCTTTCTCTCTACTCACTTTAGCAAACTAATAGCCTTTAAGCTGCCAAAATTCCGTTGTGACACAAACAACATATAGGAAAATATGATATGACAACTTAAACAGTTTTCAACTTGACCAACTACCACTAGGATGGGAACTTCATTTGCGATTTATGTAGTCTCCTTACAATCAGCATTAGCTACTCCTTTCTCTCATCCTCTTAAATAGCAAAGAAGACAGTATATCCCAGCATATTGGAGTATTAACATAAGAAAGATGGAAGAATATTGCATATACCTCTTGTAAATACTTCAAATAAGGGCAATGCATACGCTGAAAACATCTTCTAAATGTTCACTTAGCAATTTGAGGAAACTAGCTTACCGCATAATCATCCACAATGTCTATGAGAAATTCTGTAAGCTCCATTGCAGAAGTCGACGATACTGGCCCTTCTGAGTCAGAAGAGGAAGAAATGATGCTATCGAGATCATCAAAGACCACAAGTGAAGGTGCATGATCTAAAGCATTGGTTATGTATCTAGATAGTTTCTGACGGATGAGGGAACCCTTTTCTAGGGCAAACCGAGAACAATGAATAAAAACTCTGCATAGCAAACAAAAGGCCGGGCTTAGATCTCCAGGTAGTAAACTCAAATTATTCTGGCTTAGTCAAAACTACAAAACCAGAGAAGTGATCCCACGAGAAGAAAAATAATATGAATTAGTTTTCATACATGTGAGCAAAAAAGTCAGGCTGATACTTCAAGTTCTTTGCAACAGCACCTGCCAATAGCGTCTTCCCAGACCCCTAATAAAAGATAGTCATGACAACTATTATCAAGTAAATTACAAGATACAATGCTCCAACGAAAATGTTAAATACATTAGGCCTACAGCACAATACATTTAAAAGAAAAGGGTCAAGATCAAAGTCCAAACTAATTGACCGATATTACGTAATTCACGTACCAACTTTTGCAGGCATTTACTTCTACTTATCTAATTAAACAAGGTCAAATTGAACTATGTCAGCAGAGAATATATTGTCAAGACAAATTCCGCAGGTAAGATCGAGTGAGAAGTATAAATGAGCAAGCGACCTCAACAATTACTTAGGCAAGGTGTAAAAGAGCAAGCAACCCAAGTAGTACATGGAAATAACCATCCCCAGTTAAAAGGTCCCATTTGTCATCTGAAGAACCTACTGATGAAGATAGCATATGCTACAAATGATTCATGGACTTGTGTGGCACTAAGACCCAAATTCCACTAACATTTAACAGCATGATGCACTCAAAAGCCATAAAATGTTTGGCAAAGAGACACTATAAGCGATTAAGATGTTTTGGAGTACATATTATGCTTGACAATGTTCTAGTTAGATGAAATCAAGAAATAGAAGAAATACATTTCGATAAGGAGTCAGAGTTCCTTATCGTAAATTGTCTGTTACATCGATACTACGAGCATACTTTGTCTGATGCAATAGATATGGGCACCCATCCACTACCGTAAGATCTCAAGAACAGCGTTTCCTTTGTCACTGGCTTAATGTTGCTCAGTCATCTCTTAAGCATACTAAGATGCCATAATCATTGAATTTTTACTTTCAGAATTGCCATAATCACCAACTTTGTACTTTCAGGACTGTGCTTTGACCATGGAACGTCATGAACTTAAACTGGGTAGATTGAAGGGAAACAAACATATAGCACAATTTCAGAGGCCTCTGAAGGCTAGAGTTGAAAAAAGAAAACATTAGAATGCTTTCTACATTACATACAGCGGGCCCAAAAGCACAAATAAGATTGTGGAACATAGAGTACAGAAGATGGGCACATGCTGCAATCACACAATACTCTCATCCACACCCAATAATGATTAATGTTGTGTTAGTGTAGTCAACATTGCTAACAAAAGCTGATCCCAAACTGTTAAAATTTCAAAGTTTACAGATGTACTCACAGGAGGGCCATGTATTAGGACATGTCCAGGCAGAGGAAGATCATACTTGCTGAACCACATCCCAGAAGCTGAAGAGAGCAAAACCATCAACCCTGCATTATAGAATTATAATCACGATGGGATCTGTCAAAAGGTAATTACATTTGCCCTTCTCTGTTTTCCTTCAGGTAAGTATCAAAAGTATAAGGGAGGATGGCCACAATACGCCAAAATCAGAGAACACCACCATAAAACAGCAGCATAAATCTGTCAAGAAAGTGATTACGTCCTCCCAGTTTCCCGCACAACAAGTATATTGGCAGAATGGGGTCAAATTGATTATTGCCCTAAGTGAACTTACACCACAATGCACAAATAGCAACCTCTTAATAAAAACAAAAGGCAGCATGCAAGAAGGTTTTAGAGCCTTGTTATTTAGAGAAGAAATAAAGTTGAGCTATACAAATTGAAGTAAAATGCACAACATGAAAGTAGCATTCAAGACTTCGGAATTTCCAGCAAATTAATTAAGTCAAAACACAAAGAAAGAATCCTTGCAACATCTTTGAATCTCGGCTTCTGCATGTAGGCGATGATCAATCTGGATACATAGATATTTAGCAATACAAAATCCACGTAGCACAAGAGTTCCCTTGATGAACATATAATTTGCTATTCTGAACATAAGTAAAAGCCAGATCCTGTTATCAACTGAAGAGATTGACCTCAAGGCTGAAATTGAATTTACCTCCTAAATGAGGCCTTTTCCAAACAAATTGTTAAGCTCCATTTTATGCTAGAATACCTAAACTAGTGCTTGGGGTTTCAACCTCTAACTGCTTGTCGTGGTGAAGGGATGAAGTCGATAGCTGAGTTCATTCCTTTCTAACAAACAATCTGAACTAGATGCCGTGAGATTTTTAACTCAGACGAGGTCCCTATGCCATCAAATCCCAAACACAGGATCTAACACATAGATTACATCAGGAGGAAAACTTCTTTCTGTATCAGTTACAGTTTACGCACACCCAATTCAAAAGTCAAATGTCATAACACTCTTCTCTTTCTTTTCTGTCCAAAAGCAATCTAGTCCTTAGTCCTAGTCCAGATATCTTTATGCGTCAGCTAGAAAAGGTGCTGTGTCTGACAAATGATTAAGGTTTCTGTTTTCTAGTCAGCATGAATATTTGGTGCTTTAGGAAAGGAATTCAAGCCAGTAGGGGTATAGCGTATGTATACATGCTCCTCTCTATCTCTCTCGCAGAGCAGGGTTATATGCTCAAATATAATCACTACAGTGATACAATAGTTGCAATAACAACTAAAAAGTAGATGCCTACAGCTCTAATTACTAAGAGGAAGTACCTACGGTTGACAACATCAGAAGCAGCTGTCCGAATCCAGCTCAATGAAGATAAATCTGCATCGAAGTCCTCCTCGTAATTTGTATCTTTGATATAATAAAGGGAAGTTGGGTCACCCCAACCCAACTTTTGGCCCAAGAACTTCATTTCTTCACTGAGCTTGTCATTCCCTTCATTTAATGCTAGCTCGTATGCACTGAACTTCTCATGTTGGGTTAACCCACCAGATATAGTCAGTGAGAATAATATTGAAGCCCTCTGTTCTTCCAATTTAGATCTGTTAGCCAATAAATTGTTTAATAACTTCTCCTTTCCTGGAGATCCAAACATGTCAATTTTTACAACAAAATGAAGCAAAGTCTGATTCCCCAAAAACAATGAAGTAACTTCCTTCTGAGAAGTAGAAGCAATAGTATCAAGATGTGCCAAAAGCCAGTATTTAAGAAGACACGGCAACCCAGAGCCATAAGAATTCTCATCATCCTTGTTTTCAGAAAGCGCACGAGACAGTGCATCAACAACTTTATTATGAGAAGACCAGTCTTCAGCATCCATAAAAAAGCCCGTGTGCACATCCAGATGCATCTTTTTCTTGCTTTTGTATCTGTGCAGATTAAGCTCTCCTTCCCCATTTTTCTCAGGAGTTTTTTCCTTCCCTAGCAACTTACAATGGGCAGGAGAGACCAACATCGACGAAATGTTCTTGTTCAAAATTGTAAAGGAACTCTTCATGTGAACCCCTACAAACAAGAGGGAAAATATTTCATGGCTTAATATTCTATGCTTGTTCTTCATCTACATGAAAGAAGTCAACTAAAGGAAAATACACATTAGCAAACTCAATTGAGATATTACAAGTACAAAACCAAATTATACAAAATCAAAAACTTGCTGAGTAGCCAGCCAACTAAAGTTAAAGATGACAGGTTTTCAGAGACTAGGATGAAAGGATACATGTATGCACAGCCGTATACAATATCAGGTTTTATTTCCGCATTGCCAACAGAAAATACAATACCAAGACATATCTTGGTTGACACTAAAAGAAAATTAGAATACAAAAGAGCTTTCAAATTGATAAGTAGGTTAACTCATTATGCACTGGTAAAGCATGGGAAGTTGTTGTGACACCGATCCTAGAAATAATATATGTAATGAACACATAAAGTTTGTAATGTACCACTTAGTTTTTTTTTTTTTTGGTCGAATGTACCACTTAGTTCATCAAATTTTTAGTGCATCAATTTAACAGTTATCAGGTACTTGCAGCACCATCCTTCAGCAATAAAAGCAGTGCTTCTTATGTCTTTTGGTCCTCGGACTAGAGACTTAAAAAGTCATTTTTTCTAATTCACCCCTAACTGTTTATTGTCTAAGCAAGTTTAGTTGTTTACGCAAACAAGCAGATAACTTAAAACAGCAGTTTGCAATGATAACACAGCGTAATTATGAACTCACAACGAAATAATGGTCTCTAAAAAGTTCCCAGGAGAAGATTTTATAGTTAATCATATATAAGCACTCAAAACTCAATTATCCAATGTACATGTAAAAAGTGAGCACTTTGGGACTTAAAACAATCAAATAGTGTAATGAGCTGAAAAGAATTTTGCATCTTTTACATAGTAAGAACCTCTCCCATGCCAAAATAAATGAGGTTATTTCCTCTGTTGAAAGGGCTTAAACTGGAACCCATTTATCTTTACTGGTAGACTAAACAGAGAGGCATTGCAACTCAGAATTTCAGGGAATAAGAAAATTGAAAGTTTAAGTTCGAAGATGCAACTACCTGCTACCTTTACGGGAGAAACTAGAAACACAATTCTCCGTGAATAAATCTTCCACTGGAGAGATTACTTCACTGATATAAAAAATTACTTAATAAAGTCAAAGTAACTTGACCTTAATTGGTTAAACTATCACCAACAAAAACAGAACAATTAAGAAAAAAATAAGAAGCTGCTAGAGCATTATAATAACATGAAGTACTACATGACGATAAAAATCAAACAGGCATTTGTGCGCTAACACCTATACTGACCCTGGAAATAACACGTGATTTTCATAGGCATGCAAGCAAAATGTTACTGCAGTCACATTATGCCAAAATCAAAACAAATGGAGTCATTACATTGATTCAAGATCTAGGAAACTTACGTACACGAATGAAGGCCAACTCCAAGATACATGCAAAGAGACCGCGAAATCATAATATGTCCTTTGGCCACAGATTCAGAAATCAAAAGGCAAACTACTGCATTACGTACTTCATTCTTCTCGATTCCTCTGCTCCCTTCCTTTCCATTCAAATTGATTTTCTGTTGGAAGGAATTGTTTGTAGGATTTTTGCTGCTCTCCTTTGCTGAAAAGGGTGTAATAATAACTGTACTAAGAGGATCAAAGCCAAAGTTCCTAGCAGTTTCTGGGTGAATATAAGCAATAGCTGTGAGAACTATTCCTAGATCAACACCGTTGACTTTATTCTTGTGTATCAATCTCTCATCCGGTTCTTGAATTCGCAGTAATGCCCTTTGTGGTTGTTGCTTCCTGTTGGGACACTGTGTGGAGTGATCTTCATTTCTCAGCAGATTTTTCCTGCGTCTCTTTGGGGCAACGGCAACTTCAGTCCCCGGCACAAGTTGGACTGAGAAAAATTCTCACGTCCGTCATGTTAGTACAAACACGCTCACAAAAACAGGTTACACATCTATACAACAAATTTGTACATTGCTTAACCTATCAGGAATGACGGTGCATCATATTCCACATTACTGGGGAATGATGAAATAGACCATATATTACATGCAGTTGTACCATGAGAACTTGCTCTGAATTGTTGTAAGAAATAGCACACAAGGCCACATTGAAGATAATCACTTTAGTGAATACACATATTGGATCTTAAAATCATACCACAAAAGCTAACACTTCATCTTCATCACGTTTAAGTTTGAGTAATCAGCAAAAAAGGTGCAGCTACACAGCAAACAAATGAATCTCTAATCATTTTGAAAAAAAAAAAAAAAAAAGAGCAAGGTGGTGATTCCATGGAGCTTAAACATCAAAGATTGCAACAATTGCTTGATAAAGTGCCTCAGCTACCGTAAAGTAGACAAAACAATTGCAGAAGATCTCGTCTGACCTACAGCTTTCTCTGGGTATGTCGAGATAACACGAAATGTGACGGCTTGGCCATGCAACCACAAGGGGAAGTTCATTGTTTCATGAAGAACCCGGACCTGCAAGGAAAAGAGAACCATGTAACATAGTAAGAAACTGCTTGGATGCTGCTTCAAACAAGGATGCTACATAGCCATTGTAGCAAAAGTGAAGTTAAGAGTAAATGATATATAAGGTAACATCAGTTACTTCATTGGAACAGTACCAACGTAATGCACAAACTAATTCAAAATACATCATTACTGAAATGACCTGCCTTCAAAGCTTTGATTTGAGAGAAAGAAAAGCAAGCCAAAGAGCTAGCCGTAATTCATCAATTATCCCCTAAAACTTTCTGCGTTGATAGACTCATCCCCCACCTCCACCTCCTTCCTAAGCAAGTTCAGAGTGACTTAAAAAACGATAAGCAAGTTAAGATGACTTATAACTTTCTTTCAGAGTCTAAGATTAAGCCTTAAGGAACTTCAAATTTTTTTAATTGCCGGTAGAGAAGGCATCGATGCGAAAAATGTTTAGTGCAAAACATGGCTTGTTCATATTCAACAAGACTTCCAGAAAAAGAGATCCTTATGCCAAGGATGATAAAGTAGCTACGATCCCGATTCAGAAACTGTTGACAGAAGTACCTGCTTCAACATAGCAGCCTCAGCATGCTCTGCGTTTAGCTCCAAAACTTCCCAATCATCCTCACTAAGTGGCTCCACCATAACTAGAGTAGCATTGGGCAAGTTTGATATAACTCGCACTTTAACAGTAACTCGATCAGGTAATGAAATGCACTCAGAAAATTGCTGAGAAACCTACAAAGAATATCAATCTGCAGTCACAAATATGGTAGATGAAGATTCCCAACACAAGCAACATGGGCACAAAACGACATTTATATTATGAGTCTCTAACGGAGCACAACATGTTTGAATGGAAAAACTCAAAAAGCAAGTCATAATGTTTGCTGCGAGGAGAAGAGACAAAACACGAACATTGCGTGAAAACAAAACCATAAATCTACAAGGATTCTATATTAAGGCCTATTGCATTAAGATCATCAACAGAAAACATTAAGATACTTTACAATTTCACTGAATTCATCATGATGCATAAGCAAGCATGCAATTCATCATCAGATACAATGGTCATACTGCTCTTTTTAGTGAATGTTCTATCAAGATGTAGAGAGAATCTCGGATTGAAGAACTTGGGACATACATGACACAACAAGCGAGATCAAAAGCAAGTGATAAAGTTTCAAGATCTAGAATAGCAAAAATCGAAGATAACGAAGCTAATTCAGAACAAACTGAAGAGAAGGAGGCTGATGGTTGCAAATCTAGTGATGAAGGGGATGTGAGCATGGATGGTGATGGTAATGATGTAGATGAGGTGGTTAATATTCATGAAAATTAGGCTATCTTAGAAGATAGAAGTTTGGATTTTGCCTGCTGAGTTTGAGTTTTATATTGATAGATATCAGATTCATTTCCATTTTAAGTTTCAAAAGCATTTTTTTTTTTTGTGAAACTTCTTGCATGATATCTCATTTCAGGATAATTTTTAAAGCCATTTACAAATTTTATAACTTGTCTGGTGAAGGATTTGTCGCCAATATTCAACTTAGTGCCTCCATCACTTGAGCAAGTGCGTCCCCTGGCTGGGTGAGGGCCTAGTTTAGCGCCTAGCACCCTAGGCATTTGGGAGCGTCTAGCGACTTAAGGGCACCTAGCGCTTTTAACAACACTGATCCTTTATATCTAGGACTAGATGGTTTCATCAACCAGCAAAATAAATAAATTGTTTCAGTGGTGGGATCTTTGTAATAGTTTGACTCTTGGAAAAAGCATTTCCTTGACTCTCGCTCTTACCTACGATCCATTCATCATTCCCACAGTTTTATTTCTTAAATTCGTGATCTTAACACTCTCCGAGAACACTAAAATGATCAAAACAACAAGATGCATTAGACAGTATTCAGTGATTAAAATCTTTTCAACTGGTATATAAAAATCTTCTCAATTCACTCAGAGAAGGCAACATAACTCTCGTAAGTTTTTTCTTGAACAAAGAAGTTGTACACGCCGGACCAAACCGGTAGCTGGCATTAGCTGCCGACCAAAGTACGAGAAAGAGCCATTGTATGCAAGTAACAGGACATATTTCAATCTTTCAAAAGCTCTATCCTAAAACGAGTACTCGCATCCTATCTCCATAGCTTTACCACCAAACCCAAACAAACCATTTCCACTACCATTTCTGCCGTCCCTCTGGCCATGTTGCCAAAAACAAGACTTTAACACAACCAGCCAGAACACTGAGCCACCCTGCCAATCGCAATCAATGGTTCACCAAGCAATCACTAAGCGAAAAAATCTACTCCAAACAAAAAGAAAAGAGCTTTAAGAGCACCCGCGTCGCCTCTAACGAACCAGAACCCACATCAAGAACTAATCTTCCCAATTTCCCAGAACAGTAAAAACGCCAATTCTGGACAGAGAGACACGCACGAACACAAAGGCCCAGTCCGTCTCTGCCTACTCTCAATTGCTCCGCACACCCAATTCAACGCGAAATTCACGCGCTAAGCGCAACTAAGCCTCGACCCAAAAGCACTCAAGCCATAGCAATTTAGCAAAGAACTCTTTTTTTTCCCCGCGCGCGAGAGAGAGAGGGCGAGCGAGCAAGAGAGCAACAGAGAGACCTCGATCGCCGACGAGGGAGACGCGGCGCCGGACCAGGCGACGACCCAGGAGCCGCGGGTGCGGAGGCAGCGGAGCTCGAGGGCGAGGGGGTGGGGGAGGAGCCCGGACGGCGTGGACTGCTGGAGGGTCTGTATCAGCGGCGGCGGGAGGGAGACGAAGCAGTCCTCCATGCCGCCGGCCGCCCTCACCTCGAACTCCAGCCCCATCTTCTTCTTCCTCTTCTTCCTCTTCTTCTTCTCCTTCAGCAGGTGCGGAGGTCCGGCGTGCGAAGAAGCAGCAGCAAACAAATCGCCGGGGAAGAAATAGAGAGAGAGAGGTTTGTATTCTCGAGGACACTGATAGATCATTCGGGGCTGACGTGGATATTTTAAATAATATTTTAAATTTTTTATGGTTTTTTTCTCTTATTTTTCCTTTTCTCTTTTTGCTTTTTTGTTTTGGAGTTAGGCCAACCGATTTAGAACTGAATTGGAAAGAGCGCATTAAGTTTAGGACTTTTTGGATAACTTTCCCAATGTCTTTGTGATAGAAAAAGGTTTTTTTCCCCTTTGCCACATGAAATTGGTAAGCGTCCAATCCCTTGGTCCGACTGAAAAATCGAATCCTAAAGCTTGATTTGACATTTCAATATATATAATAGAAAAAAAGTAAATATGGACCTAATACCATGTGAGATTTTCATGCTTATCAAGAAAACGAAAACATTTTGTTCATCATTATTCAAAGAAATGTCATCTTAGTTAAAAACTGACAATAAGGTTTTTTTGTTCTTTCTTGTGCTAAGATAAAATGTTTGCTATTCTAATGTAATAATTTACTTTAGCAAAAAAGAAAGAAAGAGAGTGATGATGAGATTAAGCTATCAACATTGATAGTTATGCTTCTCAAATTTATTTTCGCGATTATGGGCCGAAACCTACGGCTTTTACCTTTAGAGATGAAAAAAGCGAGATTAGAAAGAGTTTGACAAGCTTACACCGTAATTATCTAGAATATCGAATGAGAGTTTAGTAAAGAATGGCATTATTGCTATTAGTACTTAGATTAGCTTATTAAATTCGCGAGGAATAGCTTAGTAAACTATCAATACTTGCAAAGCCACGTTTTCCCTCAAGAAGTTTCCGAAGCTGAAAAAACAAATAAAATGCAGATGCACATGTTAGCACTCTTTTTCAATCCAATCAGGCGAGAAAGATCCGAAGTGCATGCGCGACAGTCGGGATAGATGCGTTATGCATTGCTTTGTGGGTATGATGCACCGCGCGCTCAATCTCGACTCGGTTGACTCGTACACCGTCACCAAACCTGTATAATGTATTCTGTCGGGCATGTGTCATGGACCAGAGGTTTCAGGGGACAATGGGCCGAGGAAGTGGCCGGGATGACCAGACAAGCCTTGAAGCTTCTAAGGGCCTACAGACTTCATGTGTACTCCAAAATATCCTTGAGGATGATATGGAAAATATACACTTATGTTCTAGAGTATTCATGTAATTAAAGTGGGCTATTGGTAGATAGGGAGATGAGATATTGGCCGTTAGATAAGAGAAGATGTACGATTGTAATTAAAGGGTTCGTGTATAATAAGGGTCTCGTCCCCTCATTTGTATCCGCCAGCAATCTAAAAATAAGGTATAAGAGTTCCGGAGTTTTAAAGTCATTAGGGGTCCGACCAATTTATGCATGAGAGGCTAAGACCGGTAGCCTATTCTGGTTAGGAATAATTTCTAAAAAAAATGTTTAAACATTGAAATTATACATCTTAGAATACTTAGCAAGTTTTATGAAGGAATACATGTGTCTCTTCAAGGAAGATTCAATCAAATAAGTTATCTTAATCGGTGACCATTTTCCAATTGATTAAACATTGAGGTTATGAGATTAATCATTTCGAAATAGCAATATCTGCAATTATTGTGATTTAAATGAAGAAGTACGTACTAGTTTCGGCTTAGTAACATGTGGCAATTTTGTTTTCCCTACTTTATGTTTCTTGAAAACTATGTAAACATTCTGGACATGAAACTATGAGAAGAAGTACAGTCCCATTTTCATTTACAGCAACGTGTACATGTCATTTGTTTCAAATTTCCCCTCTATTCGGCCATCGTGAACAAAATGGATGAGGAGAACCAGGATGCAGCTGCGGAGATAATAACCAAGAAATATTCAAGCTGACAAGATGCAGGAATCCAATAACATCTTGGAACAAAACGTGGGACAAAAAAAGAAACAGTGAACTCTCAAGGTTGTGTCAAACACGAGAAAGGGCATGCGGAAGAAATAAAGCCACTAAAAGAGGAGGAAAGAAAGTAAAAGTGAAGGAGAAGAAAATCGACCCCAGTGGGAGGAATGTGGAGTTGACGGATCACGAATCCAAGCATGTTTTCTTAATGAGCTGGTTAGAAAACTGGGCAACATCATCTTATTAAGAAGTTCAAGTTCAGAAACAGTTTCTATATCGTGACTGGCTCCATCCATCGAACCATCTATAGAATGAGCATATGCAATAGCTTTTTTTTTTTCTCACTTAGGTTCTCTAATCTATGCTTTACAATCGACCGGACAACATCGATAACGTCTATGTTTTCGCTGAGCTTGTAGAGAGCCTATGACAGCTGTACATTTCCCACTTAGCTTCTTTTTTTTTCATATCTTTATATGCTGATATACTCAAAATGATTATGGGATATGCAATCACAAATCAATTTGCTTAGACCAACATTGAACAGCGTCAAGAAACTAATTGAGCAATGGATCGTGGTGCTAGTGATGTATTCCTTTGAAGATGACGGTTGAATGTACAAGATATAACCCTTGCGGGCTAAGAATCCGTCTTTAAAAGAAAAGAAAATGCACTCAATTCTAATATCAAACTAATCAACACGGTTGATTTAGTTGCTAAAGTGATTTAGATTGTCATAATTTCCACTTAATTCAGTTTTGACTACTCTTTATTATTTCTTAAAGACAAATACCCATGCAATTTATGAGTCTTTACCTGTTCAAATAAAGTTCAAAATTTTTCCCTCAAAAGCACAAGTTTAAGATTGTTTAAAGTTCAAAGTTTTTCCAACAAAAGTATGGCTCTGATTTTTTCACGGAAATGAATAATTTGAGAAATATTTTTCTAAAAATGGTCGTTTTTATCGCTTACAAAAATGAATAAACTTAATTACACTTTCGTGACAAGTTTTGTAACTTTCAGTGCACTTATCCCTTATTTTAAAATAGATTCAATTTTTTCATAACTAATTTGATCCAAGTGCCGTAACTTTTACGTTTATGCTATTAGATAGGCACAGTCTTTTGGTTTTCTTCTAATTTTTAGGATGTCAAAAAGACAAGATCAATTAAAGCAACCCGGATGTTCACATGACGAGATATGATCTCAATAAGTAAGCAAAATGGCAAATAACCTCTTCAGGAAAAAGGTACGCAAACTAAGGGAGTTCCAAAACAATTTCGAAACAAAATACAATCCTAGAACTTTGCTTTAAAACGCTGAAAAACATACATGAGACATTATTAGAACCAGATAAGCTAGTTGATGCTGCGGCGCACAATGTTCCTATTCCAATCAGGTGTTTTCATGGCTAATGCGCAAACAGCCAGTTGTTATATTTCACTTCTTTCCGAGCCCTTCTTCCAGATAATTGAATATAACCTCAGCTTGCTTAGAAGCTCTGTGAAGACTTCGAAGTCGTTGGGCCACTTCAAGCAATTCGTGTGAATCCACTACCTCACGCTTAGGCATAACTTTGATGGCCATATTTTCCAGAATAGATGCATGTCCGAGCAAAAACTTCACCAGCACAAGCACTTCCTCATATTTTATCCTTGAACAAGCATAGAATCCAGAAATCTCAACATTCTTGAGATACCAAGCCCAAGCCTTGAACTTTTTTTTTATGTGCCAATAGCTCTCATGATCAACATTGCGAGAGCTTAAGTTAGATTTAAGCTGCACATGGATAAAAGTTGGTAAATGTTCGAACAAAAACGCGATTTAGTTTCCACGCTATAATGTTTTAATCACCCGAAAGAATAATCATCCCTTGTCAAATCAAATATCTAGCCTACAATAACGAGATTAGAGAAAATCATAAACAAGAGAAACCAAAATTTGGGCACTCGAGTTCATCAATGCATGCATAAACTTCTCATTGTCACATCACAATGGCCTTCACAGAAAAGAAAAAGAAAATCCAAATGAGACTGTTGTGAAACATCTAGAGCGTTATAGAGGGAGCATTTGAAACATAGATTGTGACAGTCAATAAACAAACATGTCATTGTATTAGTGTTATTAGTTCATGGACTCAAGAAGACAAAGGAAGGGAGAATTTATGGTACATTATCTAAACCTATGGATTAGAGTTTAAGGAGTATACCCAGTGGTCGCACCAGTCAGATCGCTTAAAATTATGACAAGCTTCTCCAAATTTGGAGTAGTTGCTAGCATATTAGCTATAGCAGGAAAGCTGAATTGCCGAAAGGGAATGTGTAGTGTTAGAGACTTGCAATTCGGCAGTGAAACCCGCACATCTTCTACCTTTAGAGGCCACAGAACCTAACCACGTCAAAAGGCAAAGTCAGATCAATAAAAAAAAAGTTTGCAGAGGGTCACATCATTCTATTTGTTACGTTAGCACTAACTTGGAATGATGGAATATAGACTAAACTTCTCTTAATTACTTCACAAACCAGTATTTTTTTTTCTCGTAGACAATTCCATCAATATAATCCCAAAACATCCATAAACTTTGATAGAATAATGCCCACTATCCTAAGTGAAAAAAACTACATGGAAAAAATGATGTCCATCATTAGGAAGTAAGATGAATATGCTCACCCCGTGGCACCAAGCGCCCAAACGAATTTGAGTAGCGTTCTGCAGCTTGCGAAGCATTTGCTCTAGCAGGGAGTAATCTGATTTGACTGGACTGTCGATATCTAATTCCACATTGACTAAGGACGGTGCTTCAATAATTCTTATCATCTCATAAAAATAATCCCCTCTTGCATGCAATGACAGCAAATAAGGAGTCGAAATCTCCTAAGGGGATTCCACGACAGGAACATCATCGATCACCAACTCTCTCAAAATTCTCGAATGAATTCTTTTTACACCTTGGGATCTTATCAAATTCAAGTATTCAATAACAGGGCTGCCTGTTGAGCGTCAGAGGCGCGGCAACAATATTGATTTGATGAAAGGAATTTTTGAAGGTGAAACAATCGCAATTCGCGTCTTTCTATTGCATGTCTCAATTACAAGAGAAACA